TGTTAGAGAATTTTCCAGAATGCGAATAACGAAAGATCCATGCTATATTGAATATTAGCACTGCGGATTGGCGAAATTTTAAGCGAATATTTTATTGAAGATGTGCTCGCGTTGACACGCAACCGAACGCGGTTTTCGTGATGCGGTTATCACGATCTCGAACATTAAGAATATTTCATAATATTTCAAAAATATTTGAAAAAAGATTACAGAACCAATAATAAATTTAAAATATTTTTTAAATATTTTAGAACAAGATTATAAAACAATAAATATATAGATTTGAATTAATATTTCAAAAATATATTTCAAATATTTAAGAAAATATTGTCTGGGTGATAAAGAAGAACATTTTTAAACATATTTTTTAAAAATTCTTAAAATACTCTTAAAAATGTTACCACCAAAAGTTTTTAAACTATTTTAAAATAACAAGTATTAAAAATAATTATATTCGGTAATATCTGTTTTACAAATAAGAGCAAATTAATCGTTAAATTCTATGTACAATATAATTTATATGTATAAATATAAATTAATTTTAAGCGCGCCACGAACCCATGTGATAACTCGTCTCGCGTGGAAAGTATATGCGTGAACTATTTCGACATTATATTAGTCATTTATGCCTTCCAATACTCATATATATTCAATATACAATTTATCAACAATTTACTGCTTTAAATGTTGTGTTTTGGTAAAGTAGCGACTTTCTCGCGAAATAAAATATTCTCTGCACTGCTTTAACAAAAAACTTCAATTTATCAACAATTTACTGCTTTAAATGTTGTGTTTTGGTAAAGCAGCGACTTTCTCGTGAAATAAAGTATTCTCTGCTTTAAGAAAAAAACGTAATATTAGTCGTTTATGCCTCTCAGTATTTAAAATAATTGCTATATTTTTCAAACTTTTTTTGTTAATAACTTTTTAACGAATAACGACCGACGGCTAAAAACTTCTGAAGGTCACTCAGGAGGGTGATTTTGACAACATATGTCAAGGTCATTAAAATCGGAGAGGAGGCCCTTTTTATGCATAAATACTTTAATTTTCTTCAATCTTGTGAACAAGCTCAGAATTAAGAACTAAAATATGTTATAGAATTAAGTTATTTAAATTAGATATTTAAATTATACAATATACTTATGTAAGAAAATAAACTAAAATAATAAAGTAATGCAATTAGTTTTTTCTTAACAAGAATTTGATCGAAGCTTTGATATTTAACATTTATAGACAGAAGGTTAAAAAGTTACTAACCATCTTTTAAATTGTTTCCTCTTTTTATTTAGGATTTAAATAAAGAATGTACAAATTGTGATTAATCATGCATAATAATTTTTTTATTTTTAACAGTTTAACATTATGTAAAATGTAACAATATTGTTCTCAGTATTTATTAGCTAATTTTAATAGTTGTTAGCACGCGCGCGATTTTTTTTTAATTTATTAATTAGAAATATTGTAATAAAATATCAATAAAATTATGTTTCAAAATACAATATTAATTATTAAATTAATCAGTAACAGATACTGAATTAATAATATTATTAATATTAGTTAATATTAATTAAAGCGACGTTTTCGACTTAATCCAAGTGATGTAGGAAGCTACACGGGTATAGACCGAAGGCATGCGATTGACACCGCACGGGTAAACTCCCCATGAAACGATACCGACTTGAGTGGGAGTGTTATTTTCTAATTGAACCAATGGACCGCCAGAGTCACCCTATAAGAAAGATATTTAATTGAATAAAGATATTGTGCAAAGAAAATATGTTTTGCATTTAATTATCTAATTTTCTTTGTTGCTGCAACACTAATAACACATTTAAGAATATAATATACAGATTATATATACAATATATGTGTGTATTAAATATTATAATATAACTTTACAATATTTCTAGATGGAGATTAAAACAAAAAGACAATGCATTTTGTGGAATAGATTAACAAAGTAACTGATTGAATAGATAAGGCATTACTACTGGCATTAATAATGTAAAATTAATAAATATATAATATTCTCTTAAGATGCTCGCAAGAGAAGTAAACAAATTTCAATAAAGAATACAATAATATGTATTTTAAAAGAAAATGTAGCACACACACTTACATATCAAGGGTCACTTTTTGTAAATTCTTACAGTTCTCGAGAGCATAAACACCCTGTAATGTAAGATCCCATCCCTCCAGTTCTGCCTCGTTACTAGACGATTGTCCCAACTTTATTACTTCCAAGTCGGGACACGAATTTGTCAACTCAATTATAATAAAATCAATTATAATGTCTCCTTGAAGTGTAATCTCACGTAACCGTTGATTATTTTGCAGTATTTTGCAACAACGTTCAGTTGTTATATATAAGCACCGGAAGTTTATATGTTCCAACTTATTTGGCCCCTCGAGATACGAAAATCCTTCGTCGTCTATAAATTCAGCAAAACTTAGATCCACAAAAAATGGAAAATCTGTTTTTTAAATAAAGATTTTTTTACTTTTTTGTTTTCCATTTTGGCTCTAAGCCTGGGATTGGTCCTTCGTTCTGCTATATCTGCCGAATGTTTAATACATTTATTTGTTTGTTTAACGTTATATAATCGAAAGAAACAGAGCTAAATAAGAGCCAATTCGCTGTTCTTGATGCGAGAGATTTATTCAATTATTAGTAACAGCGAATTGGCTCTTATTTAGCCCTGTTTCTTTCGATTGGATTTACAAAGCCTCTACTTACGGGTATTTATAATATCTTTCAGGGCTCTCGCGGTTTCCTTATTTTGGTCTTGTGTCTGAAAAAAAGATTGTGACATAAGATAAAAATGGAAACTCTGTTTTTAAAATAAAGATTTCTTTACCTTTTGTTTATTTAAGGCAGCTAGCCTCGGGCTTCGCCTTTTTGTGTCATCCTCTTGGCTCTGAAAATTGACATTGCAAAGGTATTAGTAGAAATGAAATATTCATTCTTTGTATTTAATAAAAAAAAGTTGTACCTTAATTGCGCCTTTTGTTGGCACCTTTTTTATGGCGCCGTTGGTTGCCATATTTAATAGGAGTGATCCTACAAAATGTGGAAAACTTTGAAAGAAATAATTCGCTGTTCTTGATGCGAGAGATTTATTCAATCATTAGTAACATCGAATTTGCTCTTATTTAGCCCTGTTTCTTTCAATTGGATTTACAAATAGAGCCTCTACTCACCCTTATCATTGGTCATGCTTCTTAAAGCTGACTTTTTATCTTGATGATTGGCTTTTTCAGCCAATTGGTCGGGTCTTTTTTTTTTATCTTTTTCTAATTGGTTGACCTTAAAAATTAACAAATAAAACGTATTAAATAAATCGTACATAATATTGATTATAAAAAAAAATTTTTAATTTTAAATTAATTGTTAGTTTTATCCGCATTTCTTTTGCTTGCTCAATTTTTTCGCCTCTTTATATAGGGTGTCTGTCGAGACTTTATGGTGCTCTGCTGCTTCTTTTATTGACATTTTTTTTGGATAATGTCGTTTAGAGCTCTTTTCTTCTTCTCGGGAGTATACCTATTATAAGATTTATATCCTACGGACGTCCGTTCCGTACGCGATTTCATCGTCGTGCGAACGACTCGTCGTTTAGTCAATGTTAACATTGTTGCAAGCTGCAGGTGTTCATCACTGACAACAATCACTTACTCGCGCGTCAATCGTTCGATCGAATACCAGGATACTTATAATGCGGAACGACAAATACGCGACACTACTCAACACTACTGCCGGTTCGAGCGTCGTTGAGCGAATGAAGAAACGGCAACCTTGTCCTTGTCCTTCCGGCGCGATCGTACGCGGCACGACGCGTTCAAAACAAACGAGCGCGCGACCGAAATACCACGAAATACCTAAAGGTCTTTCTACATCGTAAATCGTAAATCGTAAGAATTGACCAATACCAATCACAGTCCATTATTCTCCTTGCGGTCGAAGAATAATGAGCTGTGATTGGCCAATTCTTACGACTTACAACTTCTATGTAGAAAGACCTTAACGTTTTCCGAACTCCGTTGACCCGAACTCGCTGTTGTTTTTCAATTGATATGATTGGAGGAACACGACTCTGTCGTGTGTTTTTCCGCATTCCTTTCGCATCTAACCGTGATCTGAATAGGGGAGTTTTTGCAATACCGTCCTTCAGATACGGTAACCGTATCTCAATTTGTTCATAGTGAATGTATCTGAAAGACAGTATTGCACAAACTCCTTAATAATTTTATTTCTGTTCTTAACGTATTAATTTTTGAATTTGTCAATTTATATACGCAGGGATATTTCGTGTAACTCGGGGTTTTTTTTTCTTCTTTTTTTTCTTACAAAATTTTTGGAGAATCCACAAAAAATCAGAATAATGTAGAGTGAATACAAATTAAACAATCTTACTTAATACCTATTCTGCAAAATCCTAAAAGGTTCTGTCAGTGAAATTGTGAATTAAAATTTTTATTAATTTATATTTATAAATATATTATATATGTTATATAAATACAAATATATTTATATAAATTTATCTTTATTGTAATAATTTATTTCATTCATTCCCCGATATCTCGGTTTTTTGTAGATTTCCTAGATATTGCAAAAAAAAATTTACACGAAATCCCTGTGACATTTATACATTTCTAATAAAAAATTTGACCTGTTACACGCATTTATCTTTTGATTCTTTAGTATTATTTGTCTCTTTATCTTCTTGAAATAAAACAATAAAAAAAATTGTAACAAAAAATGGGAAATCTGTTTTTTAAATAAAGATTTATTTACCTTATCGGTTTCAATTTTGGCTCTAAGCCTGGGGCTGGTCCTTTGTTCTGCTATATCTGCCGAATGTTTAATACATTTATTTGTTTGATGTTTAACGTTATATAATTGACATCAGGCGCACGCATCCCCACTCTTCATCACGTGACTGATTTTAGTTCACTTTGTCCTGGGATCAGGCACAGATCGCGCCACGGTATATTTGACCCCCTTTCTAAGGTGGGAGTTTGTACTCCCTGGCTTTCTACGGGTACAATTTACAATTTCAATAATTTCATGCTCGTCTCTCATGAGAGTCTCGCTGTACGACAACGACGGCCAACAGCCAACGATCGGCGCTTCTCGGCACCTCGCGATTGGCGGATCGCGTTTATCGAATCCCCCAAATCCCCGTATGGACTCGCCTTTAAAGTCACTTGATAGTGACATTTGACGACTGGACGTTGCACCGTTACGCCATTTCGCCAGCATTTTCCGCGCGAGCGAATTAAAGCTTCGGCGATCGCGCAAAAATTTCCTGACAAGATGGAGTTCAGCTTTCATCGCGTTAGGCCACGTATATGTAGCGAATGAAAATAAAATGAAATGAGTAAGAAGATAAAATTATAGACGTTTATTTCAATATATTGTATAACTACTTGCTTCTGTTTTACAAATTGATGTCGACCATGTAATCGCAGCGACGCGTTTATCTTCCTTCGCAGACGCCCTTCCTTCTTTCTCTTCCCCAATTCCGCCATTTTTGTGTCCCTAAGCATAAAAAAATATGAATTTCTTAAAATGCTTTATAATCGTTCCAAGGTATTAAATTTCATCCTTTAGTATTTCAGCCAACGATCGGCGCTTCTCGGCACCTCGCGATTGGCGGATCGCGTTTATCAAATCCCCCAAATCCTCGTATGGACGCGCCTTTAAAGTCACTTGATAGTGACATTTGACGACTGGACGTTGCACCGTTACGCCATTTCGCCAGCATACCTTTCAAATTTTTACATGCCTTTGAAATTTCACGCGACAGTAGGACAGGATTTAATTCTACTATTGACATATCATCTATGCGGCAAGCACTCAAACATAAATGCGTTAAACGCCTGCCGCAATTATTAAGAAAGGTGGCAGCGTGGTCTTGTGGTAAAGCGCCAGACTTGTAACTTCGAGGAACCGGGTTCGAATTTACCTGATCACAGGAATTTTTATATTCCAAACTGCACCTCCCGCACGCGAGTGGGACTCGTGCGGAGAAACTGGGCTATCTTTCGGAGGAGACATTAAACTTGAAATTGGTCGTCAAGCTTGGGAGTTTTGGGTCAATAATACTCCTATCACTAGCTGCAATATTAGTACAGGTAATTAAAATCAAACCCGTCTCGATATTGTTTGATGTTAAATAATTTTATAAAAGATTTTACTTTTCATAACCGAATCGTAGGCAGGCGGTGCAAACAAATTTTGAAAAAAAATATGCGAACCTTCCAGAATGCTTGATTTGACAACCGATCCAGGCTATAATGATCCCAAAAGAATATCGCGAAATTCATAGGTACATGTAATGCTAGAAATTCATCGTGGTCTCAAACAATGTCCCTTTGTCTTCCTTATTTTCACTCCCTGTCCTGGCCCTGAGCCTGTGGGACTGGTCCTTCTTGGTGGTAAATCTTTATCGTTTGTCACTGTGCTTAAAGCAGGTCTTTTTGGCTGCTTATTCTTTTCAGCCAATTGTTCTTGCAGTACTTTTTTCTTGGTGCCATTATTGGTCGCCATGGCGGTATACGCCTGTGGTATACGCCTAAATGAATAACCATCTGCGATGTGGCCTCGCAATTCTAGCAGTGGCAGACGACGTCTCGTCCTCTCCTGTGTAGGCGTCGTATCGCTTCCTTCATCGCTCATCGGGAATGTAATTCCGGCACAGAATATTGCTCAGGCAGGGCGGGCAAAAAGTAGCGATATTACCCAGATCACTATAATAGCGGTTTTCACTGATCCGGCACAAGTATTTTTTTCAATATATCTTTTTATATCATTTAGCTCATTTCTTTTGCTCGTTTCTCAATTTTTTGGCCTCTTTGTATAAGGACGGCTTCCGTGATTTTATGTATTTTTGCCGCTCGTTTAGATGGCATTTTATTTTCTACTATGTCTTTTAGCGCTCTTTTTTCCGTTCGGGCGTGTACCTGTTATACGTTTTGTATGGCTTATTACTGTTTTTTGGTTTTTCATTTTCTTTTATTTCTTCATCAAGGGTCATTTTTTGTAAATTCTTACAGTTCTCGAGAGCATAAACACCCTGTAATGTAAGATCCCATCCCTCCAGTTCTGCCTCGTTACTAGACGATTGTCCCAACTCTATTACTTCCAAGTCGGGACACGAATTTGCCAACTCAATTATAATAAAATCAATTATAATGTTTCCTTGAAGTGTAATCTCACGTAACCGTTGATTATTTTGCAGTATTTTGCAACAACGTTCAGTTGTTATATTTAAGTACCGGAAGTTTATATGTTCCAACTTATTTGGCCCCTCGAGATACGAAAATCCTTCGTCGTCTATAAATTCAGCAAAACTTAGATCCACAAAAAATGGAAAATCTGTTTTTTAAATAAAGATTCTTTTACCTTTTTGTTTTCCATTTTGGCTCTAAGCCTGGGATTGGTCCTTCGTTCTGCTATATCTGCCGAATGTTTAATACATTTTGCAAAAGATTGGGCGCCAGGTGCGACGGATCGCACCACCGTACACTAATATACCTGACGCGATATTTCCGGCAATACCTCAGGGCGTAGGGCTCTTTCAGGGGATTTGGAGAGAGGCGTCACACAATTAATCACACTCACCAGGAAATAAATAATAATAACTGAATATATTTGGTCAGATAATATCAATATAATCGGTCTGAGTTTCTCGTCCTACCGCAAAAATGTCGGATAGGCTGACGCACGAATGCCGCAAACGCAATAAGTGCACGCGGTAATGTCGAATCTTTCACCCTGTAACGCAACATATAAACGCAGACGAACACACGAAGCTTGACATACGAAACAATTACGATTCCGACTCAGGTATCGCGGTACCTGGCTTCAAACTCACAACGAACTTACGCCACGAGGCCGACGAACCGACTCGCCGCACCCTCGGTTGCTCCCTCAACGCGCACCCGGGCCACCTCGATTCCGCACGACGCAAAAATTATGGGCGATCTCGCCGAGTCGACCATGCTGGCCGGCGATTGCCCCCGAACACGAAATAAGGACTCGTATCGCGGACGATCCCGCGGCTTGCCACGCGAATCCCGAATTCTCTCGCAAGCACGGAGATTCCGCGGCCCCGCGCCGATCCCGTCGATCTTTCCGTCCCGCCAAACACAATATTCGCCGTCCTCGAGGGCCCGGATACGTTACTCAAGTACGAGGGCGAGTGCCCTTCA